GGAACACAACAGAGAGTCCCTGATGGAGCAGGAGAAAGGTGGGGTGCAGAACTCAAATTCTAGTAAGAAGACCAGACTTAATGGTCTGAATACAACTGGAGGAACCCCAGAAAGCATGGACCCTGAATTCTCTATCAGCTCAGAACTAAAACAATTTCTGAGGCCAACTCTTCAGACAGGGATTGGACTAGACTGTGGGACACAAAGTGATACTCATGAGGAGTGTGCCTGTTAGCTCAAGTAGATACAAGAGACTAAACGGGCAGCTTCTGTCTGGAGGTGAGATGGGAAGGCAGAGAGGGCTAGGAGCTGGCTGAATGGACACGGGGGATCAGGGGTGGAAAGGAGGAGTGTGCTGTCACAGTATGGGGAAAGCAATTAGGGTCACATAACAATGTATATATAAATTTTTGTATGGGAGACTAACTTGAAATGTAAACTTCATTTAGACTACAAAAATAAATAAATTTTGAAAACCACTGCTCTGCTAATGGTTCTTAGAATTGTTCCCTAACTAGCAATATTTGCATTGCTTGGGAACTTGCTGGAAACGCAAATACTCAGCAGGAATTCAAGCCAAAACAAACCCATTGGAAGCCCTACTTTCCCTGGACCAGGGTTCCTCAACCTCAGTACCACTGACACATTGGGTGGCATAAATCTTTGTTGCAGGGGCGGTCCTGTGCACTGCAGAATGTTTAATGGCATCCCTGGCCTCTACTCACTAGATGCCCTCCCCAGTTGTGACAACAAAAAACGTCTCCAGACAGCCAAATGTCCTTGGGAGCAGGGAGAGGCAAAACAGTCCCTAGCTGTGAACTATAGCTCTAGACCAGTGGGGCACTTGTTACAATTCCGATTCTGGGAGCCCTCCCCCAGACATGCTGATTCAGTAAGTCTGGGGAGGGGGCTCAGTTTGTATTTTTAACAAACACCCCAAGTGATGCTGATGCAGAAGACCCAGGAAACATAGTTTGAAAACACTGTTCTAGGACTAGTCGTTCTCAAACCCCAACAAATAATCCTGGTGAAAGCAGAGCTTCTCTGGCTGAAGGAGAAGCCTTTGTCTATGGCTATGAAGAAAAGGGAAAATGGGGAGATAGGCTTTCTAAAGAGCAGGCGTGGGGAAGACACCGGAAGCTTCTGACAGAGCTGCAGTCTGAGATTTCATCTTGAAGGTAGACTGAAGCCCAAGCAGGAAGGCTCGTTCTCCCTGAAAGGGCTGACAGGTCCTTCAAAGGCCTCAGGATGACAATCATGGCAGATTCTTGGATCATCGGGGAGCTCCCTGAACTGATGCTAATACACCTTACCATGAGGACAATGCACACCAAAACTCCCTACCCTCCTCACTAACAAGTTTCTGCCCTGGAATTAACTGATAGTGGTTGCCTTACAAATGGAGTACAGAAATTAAAGGGAGTAGCTATCATCCTGAAGTAGTGGATCCCAAACCCTCAGGGGCAGTAGCAGCTGGACTGCTAAGAAACCCAAGATATAAAAGGTGAGTACTTGAGGTTTCTGGGAGAACAAGGGAAAGCAGCAGTTGTTGCTCATGTGAGGAGAAAGAACCCTGCGGATCCAACCTTCTCCAGTCCACACTGATCAACTTCGATGGGTCCTTCAATGGCAGCTAACCTAAACTCCTTACCCTGGTATACATGCCAAGCAGTATCTGATCCTTGTACCTTCGTGTCTGCTACCTCTCTGCTGGGAAGAGCATTTTCTTTGCTCTACCTCTTGTCCACTGAGCTGGTTTATATCTACTCAACTTTCCAGACTTGGCTCAAAGCAATACTCCCTCTATGAACACCATTCCTGACCTTCTAATTAACAAGACCCCTGACTTGGAGCCCACTATCCCCTGTATATATCACACTGCATTTTTGCCACACTACTGTACTTAACTATCTATATATCTGTCTCCCCTACTAGGCCATACACTTTGACGGCAAGGGCTGTATCTGACTTGTTTTTGCATCCCTAGCACTTAGTACAATGCCTGGTGAAAACAACAACAACAAAACAACAGGTGCTCAGTAAATGCATTTATAATTAGTCCCAGAGAATCTGCATTTAATTGTTCTTTGAGCACTTATGTGACTGTTGTCTCCTTCAAGCAAGCACCTTAGGATGGAAATACATCTCTTACTTTATCTGTACCCCTCACAGAGCCTGATACAGTTTGATTTATTCAGAACAGTGGTCAGAGAACTACAGCCTTCAGGCCAATCCAGCCCACCACCTATTTTGTAAGGCCCATGAGTTAAGAATGATTTTCCATTTTTAAATGTTTGGAAAAAAATCAAAAGAATAATATTTTATGACAAGTGAAAATTATATAAAATTCAAATTTCAGTGTCTACAAATAAAGTTTTATTAACACACAACTATATTCATTCATTTATATATTGTCTGGCTACTTTCACGCTACAACAGCAGAGCTGAGTAGTTGCAGCAGAGATCTATGCCCCACAAAGCCTAAAATATTTACTATCTGATCCTCTCCTCCAGCCAAGCCTAAAATATTTACTATCTGGCTCTTTATAGGAAAAGTTTGCCAACCCCTAATTTAGAAGATACAATCAAAAGAACTATTAAAACAAAAGACTGCCTAATGTGTCAAAAGCAAGCAAGATTAAAAAAAAAAATTTCTATATTAATTATGCTTGAGCCCAGTGGTGGGCTCAAGCACAGCAACAATCGTGAGTATGGCACATAACCAGGCAGTGTTTCGTTCTGTTGCACACAGGGTCAATATGAGTTGGGATCGACTCAACGGCACTTAACAACAGTAATGATACTAATTATATAACAATGAGTTAACATAGCCCAGGAGGAAAAAACTTAATGAGCTTCTATCATTTTGATTACAGTTTTTCTAAATAAATAAAAATCACCCAGTGTTCTAGAATTCTAAATTCTCTCAGACATATTTGCGTTTGAAGACATGCAGTTTGAAAACTGGGTAATGAATTTTCACTGTCATAAAAGCTAAATCAATTAACAATATTCTAAATTATGTTAAGAATTATCTCAAAAATTATGTTAAGAATTAAAATAACACATATGACAATTATAAGACTGAAAAGAAAACAAAATTCAACCTTAGGTATTCAATGACACTGACCTCCCTATGTAGGCAATCACTTCTACGACTACTTCTGGGCATCTTATTACCAAGAACAACCCATCATGTCCATCATGGAATGTAAAGAGTAAGCTACCTATTCTTTAAACTCTGGAGTTAAAATAACGGTGAGGCTGTAGGTACAGCAGAGACCACGTGTAACTAACAGGACAAAAAACTGGCATGGATATTATTAATTTCAATATTAAAGTACCCATATTAATTTCATTTTTATTATTTCAGTCAAGCAATATCCATGAAAAGTATGCAAATAATAAAACTCATTTATAATATTATCTTAAACCCACTGCCATCAAGTCGATTCCAACTCATAGTGACCCCATGGGAGTTTCGAAGGCTGTAAATCTTTGCAGAAGCAGACTGCCACATCTTTCTCCCGTTGAGCCCCTGGTGGTTTCGAACCACCGACCTTTCAGTTAGCAGTCAATCACTTTAACCACTGCGCCACCAAGACTCCAATATTATTTTAAGGCCTGTTTATACACGACGTAGGGAATTAAGGTCTCTGTTAAAAAAAAAAAAGTCCCTGTAGGGTTTTTGAAACAACGTACCTTACAGGATCGAAGCAGAAAAATACTAGTGATTTCAGGAATATAATAGTTATCAAAAACTGAATATTCACTTGAAGATGATTTCTCCAGCTTCTTCACTTTGCCTTCGTAGTGGGAGCTATAAAAATCACTGCCATACCTGGCAAAGCTGAATATCCCCACACCTATAAAAACAGGAAAAGCAACAACAGAATGAGGGTAAAATGTCTGAAGGAAAAGACAAAAAGCCTGCAAGAGCTTCTGGTGAGTGAGGACACATTCTGTGCTACTGTGTTCACACAGTCTAATATGGTTCAGGTCTGCCAACATAAAGGAGGACTTCTGCCCCCTATATCCCTGTCAAATCTCCTTTTTCTGCTATCCCATTTGCCCTGGCCTGTAACATTCAATGGATTGAGGTTAAATTCTTCAGACACCAAAAGTTCCAGAGAGTTCCTCCCCCCTCCAAAAAAAAACAAAGAAATCTTTTTCTTAAATAGTCCAAATCAAGTGCTCCAAAGGAGCAATGGAAAATAATCACGTGAATAACACGCAGCCCTGATTCTACTCCTTAAGAAACACAAGAAGCAGATCTCGGTTTCATCTGTATCAGGGAGGGTTCCTGACCTTGCCTCATGCAGAGTCAGTAAGGAATACTGCCCTGCCTGTCCCTGACGTCTTGGAGATGATGTTTTGGGCCATGTGATGCTGTCCCCTCCTGAGCCATAAATCACTAGATAGTCACGGCATTTGATCCCAAAGCAATCAATATATATGTTGACCAATGAGCTATAATTTATGTGGCTGATTAAAAAAGATGAGCTGGACCAATCAGACTGTCTTGGAAACTTGAACCAAGAAATCGAAAAACAAATTGCTAGGTAAGGGGGGTAGGTGAGAAGATAAAACCAAAAGGGCCAAATTCATATGAAACTATAGGCAGTTAGTAGAGGACAGCATAGCAAAGGGAACAAAGAAACAGAGATCCCATAAGACAGAGAAACCATGAGGCCCCTAAGAGGGATGAACAAAGCAGCCATCCCTCAAACTACCTTGGCTCCTAACAGCTTTCCATTTCTAGGTTCATTTTATGGGTATCTTTACAATAAGCCACCTTTTTTCTTGATTAATAGAATTATAATAGCTAGGCTTTATCAAGCTCTTACCAAGTACCAAAGATGATGTGATGTGTGCTGCCTTACATACATGAGATTATGAGATTGGTACTACCTCTTTTTTTTTCACCTGCCTTTGTTATTTTTCTCTCACTGTACTTTAGATGAAGGTTTACAGAGCAAATTAGTTTCTCATTAAACAATTAATACACATATTGTTTTGTGACATCGGTTACCAACCCCATAACATGTCAACACTCTCACCTTCTCGACCTTGGATTCCCCATTACCAGCTTTCTGTCCCCTTCTGTCTTCTCATCCTTGTCCCTGAGCTGATGTGCCCATTTAGTCTTGTTTTGTTTTATGGGCCTGTCTAACCTTTGGCTGAAGAATGGGTACTATCTCATTTTAAGAATGAAGAAACTGATGCTGAGAAACTCACCGAGGGTCACGTAGGGTGTAAATGGTGGAGCCCAGGGTCACGTAGGGTAAAAATGGTCAAGTTCAGGACGCCTAACTTATCTACAGTATTGCTACAACCAGAGAGTCATACAACTAAGTCCAGCTCAAATGAAAAGTGAAGGGGGAGAGAGAGAAGACTCTTTTTACTGTAACATAATCCATATACTTAGATACACACATGGTATGGCTTCAGATCCTAACAAACAAAAGCACAGCACAATCACTTACAAATGTAGACTCTACTGCCTCTAATTAAAAGCAATTTGAAGATTCCCTCAAAATGCTGTTCTATTACTTCTGTAATGTAAAGGGGTTAATTCTTCACATATATGACCACTATATTAAGAAAATATATCAAATGAGTTTTCTAGAAATCCCCTTCAATGTTAACTCACCATCCAGTTCATATACTAACATGCAGAGCCTCACCAACTTCAACAGCTATGGTTCTCAAGCTTCAGCGACCAAGATCATCTAGTGAACAGGTGATTCTTGCTTAAAATGCATCCAGTTGAGTCCTAGCCTCACAATTTCTGGTTCCTTCTGAGGGAGGGCCCCGCAATCTGCATTTTAAGCAAATTCCAAGCAATTATGAGGAAATGCAGGTATCTGGGCACCATCTCCAGAGTTTTTGATGAAGGTAGTTCCGAGGTAGACCCAGTAATCTCCCTTTTTAACAAATTTCTCAAAGTAATTTTGATGTTAGAACTCTTCACACTATATACTGAGAAACTACAGGGGAGCAGTGTTTTCCATAAGGCAGACAGTGACTAAACCAAAACCAAATCCATGGCCGTCCTGCGCCATCCCCGTGACCTTTTGCATATGTGATCACTGTGATCCATGGGATTTTCACGGGCTGATTTTGACAAGTAGATCTGCCAGGCCATTCTTCCTAGTCTTCCTTAGTCTGGAAGCTCCGCTGAAACCTGTTCAACATCACAGCAACAAGCAAGCCTCCACTGACAGGTGGTGGCTACGCAGGAGGTGCACTGGCTGAGAATCGAACCTGGATCTTCTGTATGGAGTGTGAGAATTCTACCACTGAACCACCACTGTCCTCTGGTGACTAACAAGTGGGTCACAAAATCAATTTAGAAGATTTAAAAAAATGTAACCAACTAGAAAATATGAGTTAATTGCACACAGTACATGTTGAATGTTGCTTTGCTAGTCTTTTGTTTCAGATCTACATATCCTCTATGCAGAGGGAATATATTTCTATAGATATAGCTGAGTAATACTCATTCTTGTCTTTACATTCTTATCTAAACATTCTTATACACACACACACCATTTCATTTTTGAATTGCTGGCTGTGGAAGAGAATTTCCTCTTTTCTGCTAACTGGAACCTGGAAATATCGACCCAGGAACTGCTAGCAGCTGTCTTGCAACCATGAGGGGGATACCTTGCAAAGAATGGAGCCAACACTGAAGAAAGAGCTCAAAAATGGAGAAAGAAAAACTGCCTTTTAGCCACATAATTTGAGCTACTGGAGGAGCCCTGGTGGCACAGTGGTTAAGTGTTCGGCTGCTAACCGAAAGGTTGGTGGTTCAAACCCACTAGACGCTCTGCGGGAGAAAGATGTGGCAGTCGGCTTCTGTAAAGATTACAGCCTTGGCAGTTCTACTCTGTCCTATGGGGTCGCTATGAGTCAGAATCGACTCAACGGCAGTGGGTTTGGCTTTAGATTTTTACTGATACTCTCAAAGCTTGCTGAGTAATGCTGAATTAGTCTAATAGCTAACTCCCCTGGGTCAAACAGCACTTTAAGAAAAGACTAGCATGTATATTTTCACCAAAAAAAAAAAAAAAAAGTCAAGAAGAGAGAGGGTTGACATGTCACGGGATTGTTAACCAGTGTCATAAAACAATATGTGTACTACTGTTTAATGAGAAACTATTTGTTCCGTAAACAACCTTCACCTGAAGTACAATTTAAAAAAAAAAAAAGACTAGGAATCCCATGTGTGTATACATATAAAGGAGCAAACACACGGCTGTACTGCGTTCTGTCTGTCCATGTAAATACTGCTGAATCAAGGAGCAGTGGCTACAGAACATTCCACTACACAAAGAATGAGAAACACAAACAGCACCTCCTTCCTTCCATTAAGTTAACAGTCACCTCGGTGAACAAGCCTCAAGCTCAGGACAGAGATGCTTGGAAAGAGTGATACTGCCCAACTTAGGTGAGCTGCTTCTGTGCTCCAGTTTTACAAAGGCCTTCAGGCATGTGAACCTCTTCCCCCTTCCCACCCCCCTCTACTATGTGGCTGGCATCTAGCAACCAGAATAAATACCCCTGTAACTGACTTCTGTGTTACATTCAGCGTTCTATCAACCATCTTTGCATACATGGAGAACACAATCTAATGCACAACTCACTCCACAGTAGAAGGGGTTGCTTTAGAACTCAACCTGTTTACATAATCACTTTTACTTCGTCTTGCTGTCAGCTGCTATCTGCAAGTAATTAAAGCATTTTTTTGGGGGGGTAGGGGGAAGATGTGTACAAACGAACTCCTTGTAAGTTTGTGCAAGACAACTTGACCCCAAAAAGAGTGCTCCTCAGCCCTCCTTTGGAAACCGCTGACTGATACTGGAAACTTCAGGAAAGACGGCATTCTTGCAGTTAAGAAAAAACAAAACCTATCCATGTACCACAAGTGACCTCCTCTGGCCAAACAAGGCTGGAAAGATTTCACTGCCATACCTTTGACAAGAACATTTTATTCAAACAATCCTACAAACAGAAGTTTATTTTCTTTAGAAATTAAGTATTCCCCAATTTTAAAATGCCAACCTATATAAACGAGGAGAAAACAGGTTACATATGGTGATACTGTCTTATTGCATGGCAGATCAATCTTACGACATCTTTCTTTATGGCATGCAATATTTATGACATTTATTTTAAAGGGAAGGGATGAAAGTAGAAACAGTTCTGGGGAATGTTTCCTGATCTACTCCAATGCATAAGATAATTTTTTAACTATCTGGGTAAGTGAATAAATTGTTTTAAGATTACTTGTAATGTTTCCATCTCTACCAGATTAATAATAAAAGGAGAGAGCTTCTGATAAAAAGCTAGCTCACACCACAGAACTCAGGAAGACAGCAGTGACCTAAGTCTCAGAGAGAGTGAGCTGACAGGGTCTACAGGGGCCATGTAAAAAGGAGTAGGTGGGAAGAAGAGGCTCTATAACTTTCCTGTCCCCTCAGTGGCTAAGAGAGGAAGATATCTAGTAGAAAGTAGGGCTTCGAATCAGTTTGTTCTGGTTCGAACCCCTGCTGAGAATCTGCATTTCCACCCCAGATATACTGAATCAGAGTTTACCTTTTAACAAGATCCCCAGGCGATTCTTATGTATGAAAAATTTTGAGAGCCACTGCTGTACTAGAGAAGCCCTGGTGGCACAGAGGTTAAAAGCTCAGGCTACTAACCAAAAAGTCGGCAGTTCTAATCCACCAGCTGCTCCTTGGAAACCTTATGGAGCAGTTCTACTCTGTCCTATAAGATCACTATGAGTCAGTAACGGTTTGGTTTTTGGTTTGGCTCTACTAGTGGTTCTCAGAATTGGTCCCTAACCAGCAGCAGTAGC